TCCACTTTATTTGAACTTTGATGGATAGTTGTCTCATTGGCAATCATACCTCATCTCCTTATTTTTATATTTATAATCTTCTAGTTTTCCCATACCGATGATTTCAAAAGTAAAGTATGTAATAATGTCATGCTGTGATCGGTGCCAATTGAAATAAGTCATAGTCGACCCATCGTTGTAGTACCAATGTTCTTCTTTTGTAAGATAATGTCCTTAGAAAAATATCCAAATAACTTTTTGCAAACTCAAGGTGATCTTAAAATTATGAAAACTGAATAAGTAGAAAGTTATTTCATCAAGTTATTCGTTCATTAGTCATTAGTCATTGATGTTTAAAACAATAAAACTAGTTTGCAAGATAAGACTAATGAAAAAAAGGCGAAAGATACCAAAAGCACATCCAAACTCATAAGTCGAAAATAAACTGACAATGTCATGGCTAAAAAAGAAAAAAGACCAAAAGACAAACAGTTTAGTACACAAACACAACATAGAAAATTAAAGACTGAGCAACACGAACCCCACCAAAAACTGGGGTGATCTCGGGTGCTCCGGAAGGGTAAGCAGATCCTTCTCCACGTGTAGCACCCGTCGTGTTGCTCGTGTTAGTACAAATCCGGTAATGAATACAATTAGGGAGGTCACATTCGGGGAGAAGGGGACGGGATTGTAGTTACGACATTTGGAACATATCCGCTATTATCTGTGAAACGGATATTCCATAATGGTCAACCAACTCGTGATGGCGTCCGTAAAATTTACGAAGGGATGATTTCAACCTGACCACTTTGAACTCTTAGTTTAATAGCTTCCTTGTGAGCAGCAATCCTCTATCAATGAATTCATGATAGAAAATACAAGCCCTGGAATATTGTATCAACTGGGAGATATATACTCCGTAAGCAGGCGCTGCTGGAATGTTGCTACAAGAAAGTTCACAATTGGGAGGCTGAAATCATCTCTTTTGTCGTAAATTTTTGTTTTCAACCGACCTTCATTGTCAATTTCTAGATGTAAGTCAAGATATGAGGCAGACTTAACTATATGTGTTGTTTCCCTTATCTCAAGTTCGATGGGATAGATGCGTTCAACATAGTCACCAAATTTTGAATTATTTAGTGAGAGAACATCATCTATATAGCCAAAAGTAAAGTTAAAGAATACTGCTTATTTCTTTTCTTTATTCTTAAGAAGTTCCTGTATGATGTCAGCCTCATATGAATATAGTAAAAAGTCGACTAGAAGAGGGGCATAGTTAGTTCCCATGGGAATGCCGATTGTTTGTTGCAAACCACTTCCTCCAAACATAACAAATATGTTGTTAATAATGAAATCAAGCATTTTGATAATATCAGTTCAGGGAATATTTTGTTTGAATCAGAGTGATTTTTTTACCAAGTAGGATTTATCCCTCCCTAAGACTAGTGATTGTTTCTACGTTGGCCATTCTTTTTTTATGAAACAAAGCAAGACCAACTCTATCGATTTGTCTTTTAGTTTGGAATGGGAAATACTTGTGTAAAGTGTAAAAAAAGTCAAATGTTTAAATACTATTGCAAGATGAAAGAGTCTTAGATTGTATGTACTCTTACAGAACTTTAGAATTTTTTAGTATCCATATCTGATTCACGCCACCTCTAGAATAGGTAGTTTCACAATAACTTTGAAACCCGGCTTTGATTGCTGATGAAATTGATGTCAATAATTTAGAAAGAGGTTTTTGTGGAACACTTATGTAGATTAGGTATCCAATACAGTGATAGAAGTTGAAATTCCAAAGGAACATAGAACAGACCTATGATTAACCAGGTTTTCCTCTTTGGTAAGTGTCGTGCTGGATATGTTGAGTTTCCAAGTTAATTGTCAATACCTAATTCATTTATCAAGCAGTTTATGTAATGTGATTTACACACAAATAATATATACGCATGGTGAACTTTCAAATGAATTGATTGGATTTGATTAAATATGATAATTGATCGTTAATAATGTAAGATTCTCAATAGCATATTTATATATGATATGTAGAAAATACCCCAAATAAATATACAGTTATTAAACGTAAATACATTTTAATATAGGATGTCATTAAAAAGGAGGGTTATTTTAATATAAAATCTCGCAAAATTATACCCCATACTTTTGGCACATCCCCGTATATCCAATAATATTAAGTAACCCCCCCCCCCCCCCCCCCCCCCCCCGTATAAAAAACGATGTTGTTTGGGGTTTTATCTGCGGGGACAACAACATATTTGTCATGGAGGTAGGACAAGCGTTTTGCAATATTTGTGTCTTTAAAGATTGATGTAGCATGGGTATTCATAGACTCAATCAGTATCAACGACCTCACAGCCTTAATCCATTCAGAAAGAGTATTTACGTCTTCTTTCTCGCGTTTAACCCATTGCCTGGCATAATCCTCGACTGAATCCATCAGTATTTTGTTGGATTTAGGCTCACGATATTTCGGGCCTTAAGATAAAACATTTCGCAGAGAAGTGTTATTGACAATGTTTAGGTCACCAGTTATAACGTGGCCAGCCGGAGTATATATGGATGGGGAAATAGCACAAGTGCAACCAGAAGGTTAAGACTTGAAGTCGTCAATATTGAGATCCTCAACAAGTGTTTGTAATTGAAAATGTTAGTTGCAATTGGTTTGGTATAGGTACTAGTATAAGAAATGATAGGTACAGAACTGATCTTTAAAATAGGGAGGTATTTTGAGTGAACTGGTTTATGATGAAGGATATTGCCCAAATGTATGGTATCGAGACCTTTGTTGGCAAAGGAGAAGTTAAGAAAGGATCTTTTCTCCTTTTCCAACGCGAATTGGTTTGTAAAGTCTGTGACTTGCAATATCCGAAATGATAGCTGTAAGTTTGTATTGGTTTGAATGAGGGTTTGTAACAGTGGTTTCCTAACATAAGTTGTACAGAGAATAAAGGTTTGAAAGAGGTAATGAATAAAGCTTCTTGCTTATTTGATGAATACCTAACGGCTTTTTTATAAATGGCAACAGGTCACTAATAGAGACATCATGAATAGTAGGTGATTTATAATGACGATGACCATGACTGCGTCTACGCCAAGGAGTAGAGTTGAAAATGTTCATCACATTCACCTAGCTACAGGAAGGACTTGATTGAATACATATACCATCAATTTTGTCATTGCAACCCTATGATGTCGCAGTTTGCATTTGGCGAATCCAGTAGTCTTCTTTTTATCTACGGAGAGAGAGAGTTGCAAGATGAAGATTGTTAGTCCTGTTGTATATTTTTTCGATGATGCGAACTTGCATAGAAAGGATTGAATGATTGGGCTGGTTAAAATGCTGGTAAACAATGTCGCTTGCATTGTTGTTGATATCTGATCTATGGCCGCACATACGTTTATTTAGCCTTCCTTTCGTTTCACCGACACATACCAATCCACAAAGGTTACACTTCAATCCGTAGACGACATTTGTTGATTTACAGTTCAGATCATTGTAGCTTATTGTAAAATAAGACTTTTTAGTTAAATTGCTAGTGAATTGAGCATCTGTAAGAAAATTTTACAGGTTTTGTAGTTTTTGGTTTTACATTTCCAAGGAAAATTCTGTCAAACTGTATGACATATTTAGTTTATTGGTGTGGTGTGTATCTGTTTGTGCCTTTCTTTTCATGTTAGGTGTTAAAAATTTAAATTAACACAAAACAAATGAATAACATTCATGGCATATTTGGTGTTGCATGTATTCACAACAATTACTGATTCCAAACAAAAATAATGAAATTTATTAATTTATAAAAATTCAAAATAACGACTTAAACAATAGAATAGTATACGATAAAATGAAACAATTTTTTTTTGAATAAACTACTAAAACCATTTCAAATTTAATCAAATTCATTATTCTATTTGTGCTTAGAGTAAAACTGTAATATTTTGTTACTAGCTTTCATAAAATTGCTTGTTAAAACAAATGTGGTAAGCTTAATCGCTTATAAAGTTTATTATTCATGAAGATGTTTGCTTGTCTATAGATATAAGAAGATGTGGTATGAGTGCCAATGAGACAACTCTCCATCCAAGTCAAAATTTATAAAAGTAAACCATTATAGGTCACAGTACGGTCTTCAACACGGAGCCTTGGCTCACACCGAACAGTAAGCTATAAAGGGCCCCAAAAAATTACTAGTGTAAAACCATTCAAACGGGAAAACCAACGGTCTCATCTTTATAAAAAACGAGAAGCGAGAAACACCTATGACCACATCAACAAACGACAACTACTGAACATCAGATTCCTGACTTAGGACAGGTGCAAACAAATGCAGCGGGTTTAAACGTTTTAATGGTACCAAACCTTCACCCTTTTTCTGAAACAATAGTGTAACATCACAACATAGAAAGACACACTATAAAATATCAACTGAAATAGCTTAACTCAATCAAAGGACATATTAACACCATATGTCTTCATTTGGAAATAATGGAAATGTTTTTTAAGGTGGTACATAACACTACAGGGAAATAACTCTGTAAAAATCAGCTGAACGTTTTAATCATGTTCTATTGTTAAGGAAATATTAAGCTTCTCAATGATCAAAATTAGTGTTTGTCAAACTGCTATATAATCCAATGAAATTTTTCCGATAAAGTGTGTGGTTCAAGTTTTTTGAAATTTTTATATTTTTGTGAAAGGGTCAAAGCATATTTTTAAAGTATCACAACCTTACGAAAATTGTCATATATCTGCGTCTCTTCCTGGAGTTTTCGATGTAAAATATGTAAAATATTGCCACTATGCAAATAACACGATGTAAGGTAATGCCCACTCAGATTAACATCATTAACTTTCATTTTGTTCTCTCGGTTTGACTGTTGATTAAAGAAGGTAGAAAGTTAATACGGTTCATTTTCAGGTTTGAATTACAACGTATGCACATAATTACAAAATTAAACGATACATACCTTGGTAAAAGTTGAAGTTTAATTTGAATTCTATGTAGTCATAGAATCACTGAAGTGATCAGATGAGAAGCACTGCGCAACCGCAACCTCAGTCTTCAAAGATACAATTTTTTTGATGATGAAAGCCAAGTGGTACTCTACCAATAGCATAAGCCTTAAACTACACAGCTGTAGGGAGGGTGGCGGCATCTGATCACTTCAGTGATTCTTTGACTACACAGAATTCAAATTAAACTTCAACTTTAACCAAGGTAAGTATCATTTAATTCAGTAATTCTATTACGTCATATCACTTCCGCAATCAGATGAGATTTTAAAGCACACTCAAAAAATTTCAATAGTAACTTTTATATATATAAATGTAAACCAATCAGTTATTCAAAACATTTACAATTTTATTATTCCTTTGTTATAAAAAGATGCAAAAGTATTCACATTTTTCCAACCCGCTTTACTCATGATATCAGCTAAAGAAACATTGTACAGTTTAGCTTTATAAGACATATGGATTCTTATATCCTGGTCTAGACTGTTTTAATAAAACATCTAAATGAAAAACAAATTCATCCCTCAATTTTTCCATACAGTCAACACTTCAAAACTTCAGTGTTTGTACACAGTAGCATTTGTTGATGCTATCAACATAACGAGCTTCAAAGTCACTTCTTGTAAAGTTAACATATATACAGGTGAAAGCTTTCTCAAGTAATTCAAAACTTATGATACATCCCATATACAAATGTTCTTAGATTTTGTTGGTCTAAGATTATAAACTCCTTTCATAAATCTGACTACTAGAGGATGTGCTCCTACAAGGACATTTTCTATAACTAAACCAAGAGCAGAAAGAGCAGATCTTGCTGTATTTATGGAACTGTAGCCAAGATCATTTTCAAATAAAATAGTCAAAAAATCTAGCACTATATTTATAGAAATTTGAACTTCACTAATTTTCTTTTCACGACAGTAAGAAAACCACATTTTGACAAATACTTTGTACTGTTTTTAGTGCTTTTTCTCCAAGAGCATTACATGATGCTGGAAGTTTTTGTCAATATTCCTCTGTCAATAAACTGTTTCCTGATAAATGCCATATCATGAAATTCAATGTTTCGTTTAATGGATCGACAGTGTCCTTGTAAGGAAGAGTCAGTAGATTTTTCCTTGCCAAAATCAATATGGGTGTATCGATTAACATCTGCATCACCAGAGTAAACCATGCTTGAGTCAGCCATAACGGCGCTACTAAAAACACTGTTGTCTTGTCTTTCAAGATCTTCTGTACACATCTTCCTAATAAACTGAAAGGAGGAAATAAATAACATTTAAAATCAATCCAGTCTATGGAAAAAGCATCTATAAAATTAGCATCAGGGTCAGGTTTCCATGAACAAAACCTTTTCAATTGTGAGTTGAGGCGAGATGCAAATAAATCAATTTGGGGTTCACCCCACAGTTCACATATATCACAAAAAATTTCTTTGTTTAACTGCCATTCGACTTGATCATTGAACTTTCTAGATTCAGCATCTGCAATAGTATTTTCAGTTCCAGCAATGTGGTTAGCAGTGAGCCAAACTGTTTCTTAGCCCAAAACCAAATAGATTTTGCAATAGAGTTACATTATATTGACTTGATTCCATCCATTTTATTGACATAGCTTACTGCTGTAGTATTGTCAGTTAATATTTTCACATGTGTAAAACATTTTAATTGAGATTCAAATGATTTGAAACCATTCAAAATTGCAAGTAATTCTATATAATTAATGTGATATTTTTGTTCATCAGGGGCCCATCTACCAACTGTTTTGTTGTCATTAAGTACTGCTCCCCAGCCAGAAAGTGAAGCATCAGATTGTAAAATAACTTGTGGATTAACTCTGTCCAAAACTCTGGACTGTATAAATATTACTTGACCACCAATATATTTCTTTTTTCATTTTATCAGTTATTTCCATATTGACATCAAAATTGCCCTTTGCCATTTTTAAGGCATGTATTTTTTCTATTTTGATATCTCTGTAATATAGTTGACAATAAACAACAGCAGAAAAACTTGAGATTATCAAGCTTATAAAACTAGCAACTTCTCTTATTTTAGAATTTTGTCTTGAAAGCAATTTATGACTTTCTTCATGTATCAGTTCTTTTTTATTTTGTGTTAAAGGGACAATCATTTTTCAGAGTCTATCAAAAACCCTAATTATTGAATTTTCTTTGTAGGTATAAGAATAGATTTTTTCTCGCGTACTATGAATCCCAAATCAGAAACCAATTTTACAGTATCTTGGATATTTAGACTAAACTCTCCAATTGTATCTCCTATCAATAAAGAATCATCAATATAACCTATATTGATATGACCAGATCTCCGGAGTGTAGCATATACAACTTTCATAAGTTTTGTAAATAAACGTGGTGCACTTGCCAACCTATTTAGTAAGCAAGTGTATTGATAAATAGAGCCTTTCCAAATAAATCTCAAATATTTTTGATATTGCTCACCAATGGGCACTGAATAATATGCATGGCGAAGATCGACACTAGCCATGTAACAGTTTTGTTTTATCAAATTTAATGCCATTTCAAAAGTGTCCATTTTAAAATAATGATACTCTACATGTTCATTTAACTTTTTTAAATTTAGTTTCATCCGATATTCACCATCCTTTTCAGGTGTCACAAATATTGGTGAAATATATTCTCCATCAATAGATTTTACCTTTTCAATTACTTTGATATTCAATAAATTTTGAATTTCTGCATCTATTATTCTAGTATTATTATTATTTGCTGGATTTTGAATAGGATTTATACCATCAATAAACTCAATGGGACATTTATGAGCAATATCTAAAATATTACTATCTGAAGTAATTTCTTCCCATTTATTTATAAAAATTTTTATCTACCTGCTACAAAATTAATACTCACAACATCAGGTTTTAGTATCTGTATTTGTTGTGAGAGTTTTTTGATTTTCCAGTCTTATCTGAGCCTGTACGAGATGCTCTACCACGGCCTATACCTCTACGACGGCCAGTGCCTCTACCAGAGATCCTGAAATACCAAGTTCTACGACCGCCTCTAAAGCCACGGTTGAAGCCACCCCTTCCTCTAATTTTATTTGATATTCTACTGTACTTGCCAATATCATCAACAGTTTTGACCACATCGCCACCAAACAAGTTTTTATCATAAGCGACACTAGCATTCAGCAAAATTTAATGTCCATATTCAAAAATAATATCATATTTCATAAGAGTTCTTCTCATTAAGCATACCAATCTGTTTGCATACCCCATCAGAGCGAGTGAATCCATACAGTCGTCTAACATATTACTATGCTCAGTACACTCCTCTTTCTCCAACATTATATTTAATTTATTTATTACTTTGGCCATTACAGTAGCTGTCTTCACAACTACAGACTGGATAGTTTTCATTTTATTATCAACTGTTTTTGTCTTATGGCTTAAAATATCCCAAATAACCTGGTCAGTTTGAACAGTAACGAGACCGTCACAATTCTGGAAGTTTCTCATCCTTCATGGTATCAACCCTGCTGTTGGTTTTAATCTGTTCCGACCTAATCTGCTTGAGAACATCAAGCATTTCATTATTATTATTAGCATCACCACTGACACTAGTCTTAGTTTTAGAACTAGACGGCGTACTCGAGGAAGGGACTTAGCCTGAGCAGCAGACTTGGACGAAGCTTTGGAAGTTTTAGACCTAGTTTTACACTCTTTGGGTTTATCAAAGAGTAATGCATCTTCATCATCTAGTCGTAAAAAGTCATCGTCTATACAAGTTGCCTTCTTATCAGGAGTTTTCTCTGACTTTTTGTCTCCACGAGTCTGAATCATGGCGTCCACCTTTGTTTACTTTATAATAGAAATCTCAAACCCAAACGAGATTGAAAATAAATACTATAGAATTTATAAACTAGATTTAATCACATGAAATCTTCAATAAATTTATTAATTAACTTCCTCGAAGTCATATAAATAAATAACAAATCAATTTACGAGGTTGCAATACAAGGTTACTAACACACGTCAGTAACCAACGAAAGTTGACAGTACACTGAGGTTGCGGTTGCGCAGTGCTTCTCATATGATTGCGGAAGTGATATGACGTAATAGAATTAACATTAACGATTTTATCAACAATTTTGACTGTGATAGTTTTGATTATTTCATATAATTCATACAAACTTCAACATCAACTGTATATGTTTGATGAAAGTCATTGGATTCGAATATGTAAAAAGACTTCGAATTAAACGTTTATATAACTTATCAGATATGGCTATGCCCCCATTGATTGCGCATGTGACATATATAGCCAAAAGGAATATAAAGATATGAATTAAGTTTGTACTGAAGATTTTCGTTTCGATATTTTCATTGTTGCTAGAAGGTTTTAAACGATAAGCAGCAAGACCGAGGAGATTTTCTAATCGGTATTTCTAATATATAACGAATTAAACAAATTCGTATACACGACAAATTCAAAAACAAATGCATTTTGCTTTGTAGTTTGTAATTCAGTGGTTTTCGCTGTCTATCATATTTGTTTTTAGTTTATAGTTGTTTTTTCGTTTGAATTATTTTACATTTTGTCACTTACGTCGGGGCCTTTTATAGCTTGAGGTACGGTATGGGTTTGCTTATTGTTGAAGACCGTACGATGAAAAGTAAAATCAATAAAAATACCGAACTCCAAGGAGTTGCTTACATCGGCAATCATACCATATTTTATTATTTATATTCATTGACATTCAAGTACATATGCTTTGATAATTACTGAATTTATTTATAGATAATGCATATTTTAGGGATTTTCTTATTGTACAACATACCAAAGGGTGTCAGGATTGTTCAAATGAAAGACCGTCAGTAGGGAGGTCTTTCTTTGGTCAATCTTGACATCCGGAGGTGTGCTATATGACAATATAAACCTAAAAATCTGCATTATCTGTTACTCTAATGTGGAAAATAATTTTCTTATGCGTATAGGTATAACGACGCACAAAGACAGAATTGTGAAGTGAAATAAAACTCACTTATATAAACGGTAGTAACCACTGTCCAGTTGAATCAAAGATTATTAAATGCATGAAGCAAGAAACGAAACGATTGGTTCAGTAAGTAATCTATTATATCAATTTTATAAAAGAGGGTGCCAAGTTTTTTCTCTGGTTTCATGAAGTTTACACCGCGGAAAAGCAAATTATATTTTACAAAATTTAAACTTATTCAAAATAATTGTTTTCTCTTTTTTGCATGGCAATGCATTTGTTTTAATCTAAAATCAGAATCAGAATAAAATATTATTTCATTTCATCTCATAAGTCGAAAATACACTGACAACGCCATGGCTAAGAAAGAAAATGACCAACAGCCAAACAACAGACTGAGTACACAAAACACAACATAGAACACCAAAGACTGAGGATTACGAACCCCACCAAAATTGAGTATGATCTCAGGTGCTAAGGGTAAGCAGATCCTGCTCCACATGTGGCACACGTCGTGTTGCTCATGTTAGTACAAACCTTCTGATAAGTCTAATTCGGTAGGTCACATTCGGGGGAAAGGGGACGGGATTAAAGTTACGACAATGCGAAACAGATATTTCATAACGATCAACCAACTCGTGATGGCGTTCGTAAATTTTCAAAGGATTGACTTCAACTTTGCCACTTGAAATTCTTTGTTCAATTGCTTCCTCATGAGCAGCAACCCTCTATCAAGGCAATTATGATAGGAAATACAAGCCTTGGAATATCGTATCTACTGGGAGATATATGCTCCGTATGCAGGTGCTGCTTGAGTGTTGTTACATAGAAATGGAAGTTCCCAATTGGGAAGCTGAAATCATCATTTTTGTCGTAAAGTTTTGTTTTCAATCGACCCTCATTGTCAATTTCTAGATGTAAGTCAAGACATGAGGCAGATTTAACTGTATCTGTTATATCCTTTATCTCAAGTTTGATGGGATAGATGTGTTCAACATAATCACCAAATCTTAAATTATTTAGTGAGAGACATCATCTATATAGCGGAAAGTGAAGATAACAGATACCTCTTACTTCTTTTCTTTCTTCCTTAGAAGTTCCTGTTTGAAGTTAGCCTCAAATGAACAGAGAACGAGTTGACAAGAAGAGGAGCACAGCTGGTTTATATGGGAATACCAATTATTTGTTGAAAAACACGTCCTGCAAACATAACAAATATGTTGTCCAAAAAAAATCAAGTATCTTGATAATGACAGTTTCAGAGAACTTTTTGTTTGAATCAGAGTGATTTTTCACGAAGTAGGATTTATCCCTCCATAAGACAAGATACTTGTATCTACCTTGGCCATTCTTTTTAGTGAAGGAAAAAAAAAAACAAACAAAAAAAACAGGACCAACTCTTTTAATTAGTCTTTTAAAGAATATTTAAGATGAAAAATTGTACAGAAAACCCCCAATTTGCAACAACACAAGATTGCTTTCAAATGATTTAATAAATGTTTTAACAAACTGAAGTTCGCTTTTTAAGTGGGGAAAATAATGACCTTACACAGGTCACTATCTTATACCTTGAAGTACATGTCATTGAAACTTGGTATCGTCCAGGTTGATTCTTCAAAACAATAACCTAGTGTTCTAAAAAGAAACAAATCTATATCAGAACACTGGGAAAAATTACCAAAAAAAAAAAAAAAAAAGAAAGAACAAATTCATAAAGGAGTCGGTATACGTGTATGACAAATGTTCGCAAAGACGAATTCTCCTAGAAAAGAGCAAGGACTGCAATTAAGAATTGGTAAATGTTAAAAAAGAGAAATAAAAAGATTTTTTCTAGAAAATTGTTGTTGCCGAAGACAACTAGTGATATTTAGAAAAGAAAATGTTCTTGAAAGAAGATTGCATTTCTATTTGCACATATATTTGCCAGATCTGTGTTTGTAAATTGTTTTTGATAAAGAATCTAACATGACATGCAATTGAGGCTTTTTCGAAAGAAAACTTGACAGAAAGAAAATATGCATGTACTTGTATATAACATATTACACTGGTTAGCAGAACACGCGTAAATAGTGAGCTTGGAGATAACTTTTATTCATTATATTTATTGAATCGGAATTTTTTTCTCAGTTTCATTTTTTTACTTGGAATTCGTAATGGAAGGATGATATTTGAACATGCGGTAAAATGCTGTTGGTTCGAATAAAAAAAACACAGAAACGTAAACACAAGATCAATAAAGATATTTAGCTTTTTTAGGTTTTTTTTCAAGAATGTTAAAACAGTCTTTCTTCTTCTGTACTATTGTTCCTTTTTTTTCTTTCAACCAACACGCACTGAAGCCATAAACTCTTTTTTGTTTTATATCTGTTGATTAAACCGTCTTTCAAACAGTTACTGAACAAGAAGCCCTGTCGGTTTGTTTAGTTGGTATTTGCCTATAAGCAACTAAAAGTGTATATGTGTATACAAAAAGCCACCGTAAACTAAATTAAAATTTAAAAGTGTAATTAAATAAAAAACATGTGCATAATATGGGACGAAAACGACAGGGACTTGATATCAAGTCATCGCTGTGCGACATAATGATCTTATCTAGCAAGTTATTGAATAATATGAGTCCTAGGTCAGCTTTTATTGAATTATCTGCAAGTTCAGTCGAAGCACTATAAAACAACATAACGACTTAAAACTGATTATAAAACCCCAAACCCCTTCATGCATAATTTCGTTAGCAACATAAAATTCATAAAAGTTTTGGATCTACGTACTTCTTAGAAATAAAGAATCTTAAAAAATAAGTTTTCAACATTTATCTGGTACAAGTAAGCTAAATGCGGGATCTATTTACCTTTGTCATACACTTGGGCAGTGATTTTTAAATCAATTATGATATAGCTTACTGCAACTAAACATCGTTGTATCAATATGAACTGGTCTGATACTAGTATATCTATATGAAAAATATAAAAAAGAAGTATTGACCTGAAATGCTCACAATAGCTTAACTTTTGTTCTAATCTGAAATTTGGTTGAGGTCAATATTTCACCAATTGATAAGCAAGTTGCTTTCTTTAAAAAAAAAACAATACGTGAACCCGAGACCGCTGGCTAGTCACACAAAAAATGGCATTTGATTTGAAATAATTTACTGTAAATAAAATAAGATAAAGATGATGTTAAAACTTCTGAATTTAAAATACATAATTGTGTATAGATTCTTGCAAAAGTCAATTTAAAGCACTGTTAGATTTTAGTTGTAAATAGAAAAGTGTATACAGCTACAATTTGAATTCATCTTTTAAGGCTTGATTAGTTAATTATGACTTGGGAGTGTACACCGTTTTTTCTTCGTGTTAAATATAAAGTTCTTATTCTATTGCAATTCCCATTTTTTGTAAACCGGATGTCTAAAGCAGAGTGCACAGACCAATCGCACTATAGATTTCAGCACTTTATTATTTGGATGCATTTATCTTATCTGTCTTATCTTCATATTTTGTTTCTTGGATGCCGTCAATTATACTTATACTCATTAATGAAACAGTCTGTACTCATGGCAGAGGTGGTATAGAGAATTGAATGTCCAATTTCCATGTGCAGTTTAACTCTGTGGCATGCAACTTATAAGAAGGTTTTGTATTTTGGTCTTAAGAGTATCACACCAGCTTCATTAGGATCTCGTAAATACTGACCATTATTTTGGTCTCATAAAATGTCTCAAATTTTAAGAAGTTCCTGAAGTTACTTCAATCAATCCAAATGGTCTACAGGAAAAACTTAGCTTTTAAGAATATCTTTTTTTCAGAAGTTTTATGAATACCTGAATATGCTATCAAAAGAACCAATTTATACAAAAAGAAATGTTTTGTAAAAGTCAATAAACTCATTATAGATAGCAGGATAAATATTTTGTACGCTACATGCGCGTTTCGTGTACAAAAGACTCAACAGTGACGCTCGAATCAAAAAGTTAAAATAAATGTATATATTTGCTGTTAAAATCAAAACAGTTGGACGGAACTATCAATTACGATGGCGAAGAGCATCAAAGCTATCTATGCATCGGGCAATAAAAGCCTAAGTGGTTCGAATTATTGAAGATGTTTATGAACGACTGTAAATTTACAGAAAATTACCATATCAATTATGAAAATTACTATAAAATAGTCTATCAAGTTTTATTCTATTGCCGTATAATACCTCAACAGAGTAATTTGATACATACATCTAATGTTGTATAACATCAAAGGTATCGATTTACTGAAACTGTTACAAAATTAAAACATCAAATATATAATATAACCTCACTTTCATGTAAAAAGTATTTTACTTTGAAAACAAATACAAAATTTGAAATACGTTAATCTTTTCTTTGAAATTTTAAGAATATCAAATTGAAATTTTATATAATTGACCAGAAACATTACTGAATGAAAAATTAATTGATATTGTAAAAGGGTTGACAATTGAGATAACATTGATAATCTTTTAAGTTATAATAGATATCTCTGCATACAACTTAAAAAAGAAAATTGATATACTAATATTGTATTACAACTTGAAAGACGTCATCAACATCAAACATATAATGTTAACCTACATTCAAGTAAAAATTCATCAAATATGGAGTGTTTATAACTATGCACCACAGACGCGCGTTCCGCCTACAGAAGATTTATCAGTTGCGCTCGAAATAAACATTACTTCGAATAAACCAGGCATGGGGTAATGCTAATTTGTAATTTTAATGCCCTGTAATGCATTACATTTTCCCAAGTAATGCATGTAATGTGTAATGCCCAAACTTTTTGCATTACATGTAATTGTAATGTAATGCATTACATTGGCAAATATGCATGTAATTTATGCATTACATGGCATTATATAGCATTACTTCTTGTCTGATAGTGCTATTTATTGCTACAAATTTTAGGGATAATAAGTACTACTGTTGTATTCTTTCTTTTAAGAAAATAGGAATATTAAACACAAATCAATGTCTACTTAAAGGAGTAACAAAAAGTGTAAATTTGAACTGTTGTAAAACTAATGATTTTCTTCATCTTACCTTAATACTAAAACATTTATACTAATAATTAAAACAGATCTATTTTTAAACATACAAAAGTAAAATTGTTTTTTATTTGCAGTCCTTTTTATATACCATTATAGTCATTGAAAAACCAATACATGATATTTAAATATGAAAGAAATAAGTTTAATGATTGATTATTGACACCGGACAAAAACCACTAATTAGTTTGTAAAGCAATCAATTCCTTTCTATTGACAAGTGAATTTGTGATTTTAAAGTAATTAATTAACAGTGAGATTAAGTTAACAATATAATAAAAAAACATAATGTCAGAATAAATTCCTTACAACATTTCTGTTATTTCTTTTGTGAGAAAAACACAGAGATGCATACTTGGAAATATAAAAGCCTGACCCAGAAGAACTATCAATCTTGGCAAACTTTGTAACTCCATCTGGTATTCAAAAATATCAATTAAATGACGCAAAGCAAAACAAAGCTATAGATTCACTTTTAGAGTATATTGCTAGAAGTGATTTACTCCCATTTTCAACAGTTGAAAGCAAAAGTTTGAGAAATTAATAGACTTTCTTAACCCCAACTTTCAAATTCCAAGCCGGAAACATCTCTCTTCTAAATTGATACAGACTAAGGCCAAGGATGTATGTCAAAAATTGTATAATAATCCTCAGGAAGCTAACCACATTTGTTTGACTGCTGTCATTTGGTCTATAGGGCAATGAAAGGATTTTTCAAATATCTATTAAATAGTTACCAAGATTGCAATATAAAATGTTTTATGTATGTTTCTTATGAAAATAAAATTCATAAAATGTAATGTGTAATATAATGCATTACTGTGGTAAAGTAATTGTAATTAATGCATTACTTTCCAAAATACACGTAATTGTAATTGTAATATAATGCTGATTTTGTCAAAGTAATTGTAATGTAATGTCTGGAATAAACTCATCATATATACCAGGATTGAAATTTTGTATTTGCACCAGACGCACGTTAAGTCTACAAAAGACTCATCAGTGACGCTGGAATCAAAAAGAGGTTAAAAAGGCCAAATTAAGTACGAAGTTGAAGAACATTGGAAAAAAAAAAATTCCTAAAAGTTTTGCCAAATACAGCTAAGGTAATATATTCCTGAGGTAGAAATTATACTAACGACAAACAAAAGCATGACAATATTTTTTTTCTTCACTTTTCTTCACTGTTTAGCAAAATAGAAAATAATACATATAAATGATCATAATTCGCCTCATTATATTTCTGAATGCATTGAACCCTCGCATATTCGAGCTCCCCCGCGATGTCTTCTTGTTAAAATATAAAGGGTTTGGTGTCTTGTCATGAATAAAAGAAATGAACAAAGATGAAGAAACCAATGTAAGTTTTCTGAACGAAGATGAAGA